CTACAAATAATAATAATGGTAATAATAATAATAATAATAATAATAATAAATATTGGCATACAAAAATATGCTTGTATAGTTTTTTTTACTATATCATTAATTACTTGCTCAGAATATGTTCATCTATAGCCAAAAGTTTGAAACCAAACTCACTGACTAAAGGAGATAAGTTTTAAGACAACTAGGTTATGGAGGTTTATTTTTTTGTTTCTATTTTATTTATTAATGTTTATTAAAGTACAGTTGGCATAAGATAGTATGTTAATTTCAGATTTAAAACAGGGTTTTGGTAGATAAATGAATAAAGAATATGTGGTGCATATATACAATAAATATTCGGCCATAGAAAAAGCTCACCATTTGTGACAACATGGATAAATCTAAATAGTATTATGCTAGTGAAATAAATCATACAGAGAAAGACAAATGTTCTATAATTCACAGAGGTTTTAATGTATTTAAAGATTCCTCCTTTCTTTATATCTAGCCCTCTGAAACTCTACATAATAGCATAAATTACAAATCTCCAAGACTAATGATAGAAAACAATGCAAATATGGATCACTGTTATCCATAAGAGAATTTATGTAAAGGTATTCAAAAGTATATAGTATTTTATACATCTAATGTGGAGTTTCTCTATACATGTGTATATATGAAAATAAAATCCCATATTCCCAGTAATGGCCCATTTTCAGTGTAACAGTTCATAAAGAACTCAAACCTACAATATCTCATTTTTTTTCTCTTGACTAAAACCAGTGAGGCAAATGTTACTAATATTTTCTATTTCCTAATAAAATAACAAGACTTGTCCAAGATCCTAGAGTGAGAAATGTTGAACCAGGACCTCTAATCCCATGCTCTTTTTAATAAGCTGCTTTTCTTATAGATTCCCTAACTGCAATGTGTCCTGAACAGCATCAGTTTCCTGTTGGGAAACCATACTATGACTTTCATGGGACTTAACAGATTGTGAGAACACAGTTCTGGCCACATATCACCCCATCAAACCATCCCTAACCACCCAGATCTCAACATCAGAGCTGCTTCGAGCTAAATCGTGGCATGCCATAACATAACAAACATTCCTGGAAGAGACACATATTTCTTGTTCAAATATTTTCAACATGTCAGTTTGCAGAAAGTTATTTTTCGTAGGGTACAGAATAGAATAATGGGGCCGTGGCACATTAAAGATGACAGGCTTATGGCAGAGATCTTCAGGCATTTAGGAAAATATACTAATGCAACTCGTTCCTTTGGCATGAGAATGAAAGGATAAAGGTGATTTGGGATAGAAAAACACTAAAGAACGATGTTTCTTTCTCTTGTTCCCGACAGAGGCTAAGAGTGCAATTACACTGATTGTCATCTCTCTTTTAGTTCTCTGCTGCACAAAAGGGGACACTTTAAGGTTTCAAATATCTGGGCAGTGTAATGGGTAAGTTTAAACTAGTTCAATGTCCAAAATCACTTTTGTACTTTTGCAATTGCATTTACATCCTTTTCATTTTTCTAAAATGCTGTCATTATTGATAAAAATGACCAGTCCTATATGTGTGTCCAAATCTTTAAAGGACATTATGTACTTCAAGGAGTAGATCGTATCTGAAACTTCGTCACTCATTTCTACTCTCTTTTTTATCATGGCTAGCAAAACAATTTCAGAAGTTTTACCACTCAATCAAACTTGCTTTTAGATGCTTTGGCTACTAGTTACCTAACATCAAATACATTTATATTTTCTCTCATCACTATTTATGCTCTTCTTTCCTCCATTTATATCTCTTCCTTATAAGACTAGCATTTATTTAGACAGACTGAAACCTTAATCTTACTCTTCTCTGATTGCGTCTTTAAACTTGCTGCTCTAAAGCAAATTGTACAATAGGTTCATGAGCTTGAGAGATCTTAATAGTGGCTTTTTTAGCTTCAAGTGACTGTACTTGATGTGAAGTTTAGACTGCTCTTTTGAACATTTTTCTACCTCATTAAATTGTTTCAATTATTTGTTAAGATCCTTTAATGCTCATTTTCTCTTAAAATTTAGTGACATCCAGGTAAATGCCAATGTTTTTTAAAAATCTGGGCAAGTCTTAGCTCATGTAACCTATTTCCCAAGGATGCCTGAGAACTGAAGGATCCCTACACTACATTGAGTTTACTCTCACTTCAAGCACATGATTATTTAATCTCTTCCTTCTGTATTCATTTTATATGCTCACTTTTAGATAGTTCTGGAAACACCTTTTTGCATAATATCAAAGGTCTTAGTGGAGAAACCATAAATTCTGGAGAATAAAGCCTGAAAACTCATTAAAAAATAAGGTAAGATTTTATATTGCTAAGGTTATGAATATTTTTTAAAATTTTATTGAATTTATGGGGATGACATTGGTTAATGAAGTTATATAAGTTTCAAGTGTACAATTCTATAAAACATAATCTGTATATTGTATTGTGTGTTCATCATCCCAATTCAAGGCTCCTTCCATTACCATTTATCCCCCTTTAACCCTCTTTTTCCTCCCCTATCCTTCTTTCCTTCTGATAATCACCAAACAGGTTATAAATATCTTTGTACATGTTCCATTTTAAAAGAATGTTGTTCTTTTCAGATCACCATGATAAACAATACTATATTTCTTAAAACCCTATTTTAAACTATGTCTAGATAGTAAGTAAAATTATTGGAACCAAATAACTACTTTGCATAAGATTTTAAGTGATAATTTTTCCCTCACTTGGCTTTGATTTTCCCAATGAGTTCAAAATATCTATCCAGTGATTATCATATCTGACATGGTAAAAAAAGAAAATTAAGGTAAGTCTTTCTTAAAGTAATATTCATATTCCCATTAATATCTCTTTTTTAAAGGAGAGCACAGAATCTCTTTTGTACTCCATTTATTTCTGATTTTATTCAGCAAACTACTGTTTAGTATAGAGAAGATATATCTTTTGTCTTCAGAGGCTGACAATCTAATGGGAGTGATGCTGGGAAATGAAAAACAAAGCATAAAATTAATTGAATTCTTTAGTTGCTACTTTTATAAAAGCATCTTTTAAATATTTCTATGGGTTACAGATGAAGAAATTAACTGTCTGTGGAAGGCAAAGACAACTTCCTTCACGTAACTGAGTTGAAATTCTTCAGCTAGAAACAGGAGTATGGAATGTTAGGCCCAATCTATTAGTGTAAAGTCAAAAGAGAGCCATGAACAGCTTATCTCCGCCTCATCTAAGAGCAGCCCTTGGTCTCTCCAACACCTAGAACTGAGACTACTGCATAGTCAACCCTAATTAGATATTTGCTGAGCAAGGGCATTGAAGTACACTTGCAGTGGGCATGGACAGGAGGGCACAGATTTGAGATCTACTTTGGGGATAAAGGTAATGGAATTTCTGGGCCAATTTATAGTGACAGAAAGGGAGAAGACAGAGCCAAGGTTAGCTCGGGGATTTCAAGGTTGAATGAGTAGGCATATCAAATGTGTCATTACTTGAGGTGCAATTCACAGAGATGTGTTCCCGACGACCAAGTTGATTTATCATTACCAAAGACAGTAATAACAGAGAGGCTTCATCTTCTTTGAGTTCTCTCTACTGATAGTGGTTCTGCATATTGACCTTTAAATTCATGGCTTTTCAGGGTTTCTGACAGTTGAAACACTGTAAGAACCACGGAGAGCTGATTATTAAAAGAAATTGTGGAAGAGCCTATCTGCACAGCTAGGAATTCTGTGATGAGAATAATTATTTCATAACTCATGTGTCAAGGTCCCAAATTGTGGAAGAGCCTATCTGCACAGCTAGGAAGTCTTCTGTGATGAGAATAATTATTTCCTAACTCATGTGTCAAGGTCCCAGGGGCTTAGGAATCAAGTTCCTTAAAGCAGGTCTCACATCCATCTAAGAATCTGGAGTTACAAGAACAATATCATGTTTAGTTTATACTGATGGTAGGTGTATTGCATTATAGCAGAATCGACTGGACTCAAAAGCTGTGAGGCTTCTGATGATTTACTGTTTCTCAGGTCCCCGCATGTGCCCCAGAGACTTGATGATAGAAATTCTAACTCCTGTTTTCTGGGCAGACCAATTCTCTGTTAGTGAATATAGATCCAGACAGATAAAAACAAAGTTTCTAAAAAAAAAAATGTATGTAGTACAGCCGACTAGAACAGGAAATTTCAAAGGAAAACAAAGTACAAATGCATAAGAAAGTCTGATACAGAACTCCTAACTTTCTTATGAAGGAAATGAAAGTCAGATAGGATACAAGCATAAAGAAATCACCAGATAAGCCTCCAGTCAATAATAATGATATGACTACTCTGGGTATAGGATTTTGTGTTCAAAGGTGACGGCAGATACATTCTCAGCTCCCTTTACACAAAAATTTGAAAAATAACTGCAGTAACAGTGAGGCAAAGATATGCAGGTTGTGGCTGCTTTATGAAAGTTCTACCAGGGACACTTAGTAACGTCATAAAAAACAATAGATACTCACACCTAGTGAGTGTGATGATATTGGATATAATTGAGAGCTATCAGAATGTGTGAATTAATAGATCAAAGATGAATGAAAATAAACTGCCTAGGAAAGCACCATAAAATGAGAACATTCTCCCCTCCCATTTCCTTTTTTTAAAAAAAGATTTTTAAATTGATTTTTAGAGAGAGAGGAAGGGAGAGGAAGAGAGAAAGAGAAACATGTACACGGGACGACACCCAACCAACGGAGCCACACCGGCCAGGGCTAAGATCAGGTACTTTTATTGATATGTTCTGCATAGGAACTACAAATTTTATCAAAGATTGGAGAAGCAGAGGGAGATTTCCAGAAGATAACTTTTGTATGACAATGTCAGAGCTAATTGTGTACTCCTAATATTAATTAATCATCCAATCAATGATACTTATTGAGATGCTGACATATCTCTAATCCTACTGGATCCTAAAATTCAGGAAGCAAATATATTATAAGTATAATA